TTGAATTATATTTATTTCATGAACATCAACAATGTTAGAATTATCGCTAATTTGTATATTTTACAAATATTTACGATATAATATAGAGAATGTTGTTTTTAAAGTGACTTATGACATATTAATTTAATTTATAACATTCAAATAACACTGTTTTTATACAAAATTTCGAAAAAGTACCTTAAAAACGCTTCTGGATTTATTGTTATACTAATTCATTCTTATGAAAAAATTTTTTAATTATTAAAGTTATGAAATGAATAAATAATAAGAAAAAGACCTCTATGATACATATGATATAAATATATTATTAATATCAAATTAACTCAAAGAATACTGTTACAGTTTAAAAACAGTGATTGGAAAGTATAAAAATATCAATAAGCAATATTATTTTAAACATTAATCGCAATCTAAATTACATAGGAAAAAATTTTAATTATTCAATGATGTATATATTTTTAAAAAGCCATTAATTATTTTGATACTGTACATTGTGAATTTTACTATAAAAATTAATCTTGCATAAGCATTTCATATATATTTTCATATAATATATTTAAACGTAATACAAGTAATAGAAATTTTAGTTACTATGAATGAATGTAGAAAATAGAAAAAATTCATTAATTGACAAAATATGTCGATTTTCATTAATGATTTTAAGATTTGAAAAAAAAAAACGTACAAAAATAGCTTTAAAACAAATGTATATTGCTAGTAAATTAAAAAAAAAACTATTAAAATAAAAATGCATTTGTATAATTTCAGATGTGATTCAAATTCAATAGAATCAGAATAGCTTTAAGACAAATTTTGCATATAAAAGAGAAACAAATTTTCGAGTCTAATTTTATTAGCTCATTAAAAAATATAATCATTAATTATAATAATGAGGTAGTACTTTGCATCAGGTATCGAACGTTAACGGTTTTGACACGCCATGGGTCGTCAGTCGATTAGTGGCGCTACCTCACTCTTGTGGTGGAAGCTGGAACGTTTAGGATCGATGGATCAAGTAGAATCACTTGTTGCACCAGCGCCGCGGTACATATCCAAGTGCACCAAAACGAAAGAATGGAGCGATTCTCTCACTCAGTCGCGCGAGCGCGCGCGTCACTTCTACATATTATCTTTTCTTACTTTCAGTGTATTAACGACGCCGCGAAAATGCACCACGAAAAATAACACAGTAACAAAGTGAAATAGTGAAATAGTGCAAGAGACTGTGATTCGATTTCAGTTAGTACATCTATCCCATGGAAGCATCAAGTCGTGGACCACATCCGAAAAATCGTACTCCAATATGCTCTCGTGAGGAGGACGCGTACGATTTCAAGACAATTTGATTTGGATGAATAACAGCTTTGTTTATATTGTACCTCGGATGTATCTAGCTTCCAGGATCGGCTTTTACAATGACATTCTTAATATTTGAAATCAAATCCACTTTATAATTCTTTGGTGTTAATTTTTAGTTGTTCGATCTAGCAGTTTGATTCTTTGCGCAGACACGTTCTGCTGTTATATTCTTTGATATCTTACATAGTCCAGAGAAGACGGCTCGTTTGCTAGGAACAGCTGCATCGCGTAGCGGCCAATGATCCATAAGATTGTTATTGTCGTTACTGAATCTACATTGCTATTGAGTGCAGCGCACAGGTCTGCTGCAGAAAGCGGCACAACAAAGAGGGACGTAGGAAGAAATATATCAGGTAGGAGGACTGCGCTATATAAGCCGAATATGCTGCCAAAACCAGCAGAGACACATTGAGAATACAAGGTATCCTTCATTGAACTTGCGAATGTTCGCATCTTTATAACACCTTTTATAAGATTAGACAAATTTTTACATACGATCATTAAGAAAATAATTATATCTATTATAAAATTTAAAAGTTTTTATTATTTTTGTTAGACCTCTCTTATTTAGCTTATTCACGTGTTTGTTGAGAAAATTTAAGTAACTAAAGAATTATTTCGATATTAACATCATAAATTACTTCAAGAGAAATTCAAGACAATATATATGTAGATATTTCTGAATACTAAAGACTCCGTAAAGATAATATTAATAACTTTGTTATTTATTTATTTCTATAAACAATCAGAAAATACATTTTGTGATGAATTTATATTTTTAACTTTTTAATAAATAGTACTTATTTTATAATTTTAATTAAATCAGATACGAATAATATATTATAATTAGTTTAAATAATGATTGATATTTAAAAATGTAATATCGATTTTACAATTAATATTTATTTGTCGTTATTACGGAATTTAATGGGATATATAATAAAAATTTAAAAAATGCACGAATAACTATTTCTAGTCATACATTTCGAATTTTATAAAGTCCATCACGATAAGTTTAATGAGATTTAATAAATTATTTTCTAAGATTATCAGAACATTTTTCTTAGATTTTCTTTAAATATATATACTCAACATTTTCATATAATTTAAAAATAATCCTTTTAAAGATACATAACCTTACATTTTTGAAAATTATTTTGATCAAGAGGTTAGTATTTTTTAAATACTTTAAAACTTAATCTTTTATTTTATTTTCATCATTTGATTAGAATCATTTTTTAAGAAAGAGCAATTTGTAAATATAAGGTAAATAAATTAAGATTTAAAATCAAAATTACTACAGTAATATTATAAAGAATAAAAATTGTAACATTTTTTAAAATATATTCATATCAATAGCCACAATTAAAAATATAAAAATATCGAAAACTATAATCGACATTATTTTTGACTGTGTTAATCATCACATATTAAATATCATTCATTGATGTAATCGAAACAATACAAGAAATCAATACAAGCGAATCGTATAAATTTACAACAATTCGGTTTTTGCACTATTAAAGTTTACACTTTTTAAATACATCATTTATCAGCCAAACATTCTATTAGTGAATGGTCTTAAAATTATATCTTACTACCACTATATTTTTAAAAATTATTTAACATATGTAGTCTCAAATATTGTAAACAATAAATAAGATTATTTCAAATTTTACCTCTTTATAATAATAATTGAAACTTTTAGTTCAGGAACATTTTTTAGATCTATAATTATAATTTAATATAATTAGAATCAATTGATTATAATTATATTAATCTTATATTAATTAAAGAAAATAAACTATGAATTAAATTATCCTTCTACTAAAAATAATAATAATATTAATAATAATGTAATATATATATATACTTATACTTGTAATTTTTACTTATATATATACTTATTTATATATATAATAAGTAAAAATGTTCTATCTTAACTTCACATTAACAATTTTGCGTTTAAATGGAATTGCACAACTTATATTAATTTAGAATTCTTCCATATTCGGTATACAAGGCATACATAGTAATTACATCATATTTTTTCTACTGCAATTCCTTGATATAATTCGTATTTCATTGTAAGTATGTAAGAATATTTCAAATTAAATTGGATAAAGAAATTGGAATAAAAAAAAAGATCATAGTATGATTAGCTATTCATTGTAATTAAAAAACTTATGCCAATTCTCTTAATAATATACTCCTAGTAATATAATATTTAAATATTTAGTATTCATTTTCCAATAAATTATTTTCATTAAAATCGTATTAATATGGAAATAAATTATAATTAAAATCATTAATTTTTTTTATATTGAAGAATATCGTAAATGATAATACATATTTTTCTACTACTATTAAAATAATAATATAATTCTATTCAATGCGCTCGCTATTGAAATTTATTTTCAAAATATTTTACAAGATTGCAGTTATTATATAAACGAAATATATATCTTTCAACCATATTTATTGTATCTTTAAATCGAATAAACATTTTTTATAATACATATTTTAAGATAGCAAATGCAACAAATATATTGTAATTTTATAATCAACTTAAAATTCGTAATAAACTTTGATAAGTATATTAAACATATAATAGTAACATTCTTAAAAATTTTCACATACTATCATAGTGTAAAGCATTATTTTTCTATAGGCGTTTATAATATTCAGTGTATATAATCGTTAGCATACTACGTTTAAGTTGTATGGTTAATAATTATTTTCAATAATTTAAAATAATGTACTTAACTCACTGTGTTTAAAAATATTTTCCCGTATATTAAAAAAAAGTAATTCTTATGTATCTAAGAGTAAACAGTTATTATAATAAAATATAAATATAATATAATAAAATATAAATATAATATAATAAAATATAAATATAATATAATAAAATATAAATATAATATAATAAAATATAAATATAATATAATAATAAAATAAAATATAAATATAATATAATAAAATATAAATATAATATAATAAAAATAAAATATTTTAAATAAATTATTTTGAAGTTAAATATTCAAAAATTAAAATAAATCATAATCAATTAATTATTAAATAATTATTTAAAATTTACGCAAATTTTTAAAAATTATTAATCTGTTAATTATTTAGTAATGGTATATAAATTTATCAAATATAATTTTTAAGTTGTTACAACTTCATAATATGATTGCAGAATTCATTCTTTTATAAAATATGAATAGCTTTATCTATAATAATTTTATACGTTTATAATATTTTTATATTTTTGTTCAAACAAAAATAATATATAGATCTATTATAATAAAATTTTGAAGTCGTATTCTGTTTCAAATTATTCACTGCAAAAGTACTTTTTTGCATAAAAGAATGTATAATTTGAGATTCAAAAAACTTTAAAATATCTAAATAGAAATATCTAAATAGATAATAAAGAGAATATTTTTTATTTTACAGACTATGTTGGATGTTAATTTTTAAAAATGGAATAAAGTCACACGTTCCGATTCACTTAGCTGATCATATAAACAACTGAAAAATGAACCACAATTAGATAAATATAGTGGATTGTTCTGTAACTGAATTAACATAAACAATTAGATAATTCTAATTAATTCTTAAATTTATTCATGAAAATGGAAAAATTTTTATCGAAAGAAGCATCTTCGTCAATATCTTTTAAAAAAACATCTAAGGTATCAGCAGAATCTGTAGAATCTGACAAAAAAAGAAAAAAGAAAGAAAAATCTTTACGGCGTTTTATCCCAGCAATATTTACTAAAGACAATCAGAAAGAAAATTTGGAAAAAGTTGAATTAGGTGAACGTAAGAAACATAATGATAGATATTATACTCATTATCAACAAAACGGTCGACTTAATAGATGTTCAGATCCTTTGTATTTAAATAACGATGGAAAAACGCACGTTAAGTTGAATCCAAGTTTAAGTGGTAGTATAATAGAAGAGCGATTAAATGAAATAAAACACGATCTGTTTCCGACCCCAGGAAATATGAGTACTACTACACCTGATCACTTTTTAATATCAGAGAATGTCAGAACAAAACCATTACATCAACAGAAACATACTGCTCCAAATGGCTTTCTAGATGTTCCTTATAACTCATTAAGTATTGACGTTCGTGGACAAGAAAATAAATGGATTGTCGATGGAAATATTATAAGTGCTTCACCAGATATGCGAAATTTGAAACAACGTAAATCACAAACAGATGAATCTATTAAACAATGTGTTTTAAAAAGAAAATATAGTTTTCAAGAATCAATGATCTCGCCATTCAGACGAAATTGTGGAGCGTCTGGTAGAGTTTCGGCACCTCCTAACGAACGATTTTTAATTCGACCAAGAGCTATTCACCCCATTGATAGGCCATTACCAGCCATTCCTCAAAAAATAATGACAACTAGTGATTATTGTAATATATCGCCTAATAATAAACCATCCAATACTCAAACAGTTGTAATTGAAATACAAAAAGAAAATTCACAAAATGCACAAGATCTTAATAGAGACGCATCTAATAAACTTATGGAGAAAGAGGATATAGAATGCAATACGGAAATATCAAATACTATAAATAATTTTCATCGTCCATTAAATTTTCAATCGTCAGAAGCAAATTTACGTTGTTCTTCTAGTGCAAGCTTAAAATCAGGAGATTATGCTGATTCGTCGTATACAGCAAATTCAAGTCAAAAAAGTGAGCTATCCCCGACAAGTTCTAAAAGTGGCGAATATTATTTATTAAATTCACCTCACGCAAGTAATCAAACTTCATCGACTGATAGTCTAACAGATCTACGTGTTCAAGAAATACCCCAAAGTATAAAAGTTGAAATAAATGAATTAGACTTTGCATGTGATAAATTATCTCAAATTAATCAATTTACTAAAACTCAAGAAAAAAATGAACAAAAATCACAAGATCTTTATCAGTCTGAGAAATCAGGATTTGTGTATGATGGTATTACCTCTGAAATAAAAAAAGATATCACAGCATATGTTACAAAGACTTGTAACCAATTGGATAAAAAAGGCACAGAGGAACAAAATTTATTGGATTTAAAAAACTATGATCAACAATTGGAGCAAAAAGTACATCAGAATAAAAATAAATTGTCGCTAACAAAAAAAAAACAGGAACAATCTATGCATAATAATACCTTATCGAATTTGCCTAATTCGAATGAAAATGTTTTAACTAAAAATAAATTACAACAAGATAATTGTCAAGATACAAAATTAGCTACTTCGCAGACACAAATTACTGATAAAAAAAGTTGTCATACTAAAGAGTCTCAACCAAATGACCAAGTTTTGATTGCGTCACCACAAAGAGATGATACTTCAATGTACAGTGCTCAATCTTCATCGTATCAATCTGACTTAAATCATTCAGTATCATCCGTGAATGATAATGCAAAAAAAAAAAATTGTACAGATAATGCTTTAGCAATCTCATCAAATACTCACAACTCTCCAGATACTTTGCGAATTGTTAAAAGACAACAGCCTTCAAGTCCGGGCAAAAATAATCAACGACGTCCTGAACCAATTTATATTTACAATAGTCCTAGTTCAACGCCATCACCTTCCCTTTCAAATACAGATCAAATAAACTATTCAAATATAAACCAATCATGTAAAAACGATATTTCTGCACAAATACATTCTAGTGACTCTTATAATGAAACACAGTTTTCGAATGAACAAACAAAAATTGATTCGCAAAAGAAACGAAATACTTTAGAAACAAATCGTCAAGTGCCACCAGAATCGAAAAAGAAAACAGACTTTAGCATTAATAGTGGTCAGCAATCGTTGTCGCCCCAAAAGAAGAAAATGATGCAACATCTTGAAGCTTATTACTGGCATCAAAAAGCCATTGATGCTCAAAGAAAATCAGTAATTGGAATGAATAGTCTAGAAGTAAAGGAATATGCTTATTGGAAACAAATACAAGGAATTAATAGAGAACGATCCATGATAAATCAAGAATATAATAGAAAAATGTTATTTCAAAGTCAGCAAATATATTGCAATGGGCGAGTTGAATATGGATCGCTACCAGAAGCTGAAAGACAAACTCAAATAGAGAATTTTGAACGACAATGTATGTATCAAAAAGAACAAAGACAACCGATACTGGTAGTCAGACCACAACCATGTCCTAGAAATAATTCTTCATTACAGGCAAATTGTGCTATTAATTCCAATGCACAACAAGCATTACCATTTGATCTCTATGGCCGCAACTACCTTTTCCAATTTACAGGCGTGTTTCTCAAGCAAATAACAACGGTAACATGATTATTGCTGATTATGGAAATATGGGACCAAAGCGTGTAAGTTTTTCAAATCAAAATAATGTAACTAAAATTGGACCCGGCCAATGGCCAACAAAGCATGGGCCTGCGCCGGAACCTCCTACGCGAAAGAAAAAAATTGAACCATCCAGTCATTATGATACTCCGTGTACGAATGTATTACCATGTGATAAACAAGAATTGGCAAAATATGATGAATATGATGCCAACAGGCCTCTGCCAGCTCCTCCAAATCATTCGTCATCTCCAAGTTCATGGCTACCTATGAAAAGATACTCTATTCCTAAAGGACAACAGCGGAATTCTAAATATCAAGTTATTCAGAATAGGTTGCCACGTCATTCTATTAACGATGATGATACTGATCATAAGTTTCTACCAACTTTCAGTGAAAGTGAAAGTGGAAGTGAAGCAGGCGAAGTACAAAGAATCCTTCAACAGCGTCAAAATGGTAAGGCTTATTACATTTTACAAATATTTTGTAAATTAATTATAATATTGACGATGATATATTTTAATATGTTGCCTGATTTTAAGATTTTTAATCTATAAATAATTACCAATTTTATAACTATTACAATATTCCTCGTTGTTTAATCAATAAAAGTTAATGTATTTGATTAATTTATTTTCAACGGATTTATTTAATATGAAATAAAATGAATATGCATCGATAATTTTTACAACGAGTATTGTGCATTAAAAAAAAAAAAAAAAAAAAAAATGAAAATTTCATTTAAGAAATAATATATTTATATTTATAAGGTCATATTAATAATTAAAAATTTTCAATACTTTAAATATTTGTTTTTTTTTTTTTTTAATTATGAATAAATTCTAAATAAAGAGTAAGATTATATTTTTTCAATTCTCATAACAAATCATGTAATTATATAATATATTTATAAATATTTTTAAAATTTTTAAAAATCGGCAAATGTAGTATTTCAATGAATAATATAATTAAATCTTATTAAATAAATGAACAAATTTTTTTTATTAGAAATTACAAATCAATTCGTGTATAAATTTATAAACGGTAGTATGTCTAAAAATTCAAAGCTCTAAATAAATTTAAAATTGATAAAAAAAATTTTTATTTTTCTTTATATCAATATGTCAGATGAACGAGAGATAAAAGATATGTATAAACGAAAAAATGTGAAGAAATCTTTATGAATAAATAAATATAAATTAAGACATAAAAAAAATATAACAATTATATAAATACAAATATGTTATATATGTTATATATGTTATATTTTTTTTAATTGCAAAAGTTCTTTTATATATTTATTACAGAATTTTGAAAAACATATCTCAAATCTAAAATAACCATTTACAGTTATATTTGTTATACCTTCATTACCATAAAAAAATCTTCGTTCAGTCATTTCTTAAGTTTAACAAACACATCATAATTATTCAAATTATGTAAACGTAGAGGATGTAGGAATAACTCAAAGTAGAATTTATTTATTTTTGTTATTACGACTAAAGTGTAAATTTGAGCATCATCTCGTTTAACCATTTTTAACTAACAAAATTCATTATTTTTCTCTTTTAATTTTCTTTTCAATTAAAACAGTCTCGAAACTTAAAACAATCTTGTTGTTTGATTTAATCTTCAACTATATTTACTTTCGTAATTCATTATTTTGATTGCTATTTGATCTGAACAGTGTAGGATGAACGTAAATTTCATTAACAGTTGAATTTATATGCAAAAATTATATTAAATTTCACTAGGTTTGATTTTAGCAAATCGTTTAAAATAGATTTCTCAAAATCATTTTTATTATATGTGTGCAAACACAAAAGACAATTCGATCTTATAATTGTTTGTTGAATATTTTTCATATATTCAGAAGATATGTTTATTTTTTCTATTAAATAATTTATTGTGTAGTTATTTTAAAAGGATGCCCAACGTGTAGTTTAACAATAGTATGTGCCCAATTCATTTTTTATTATTCTATTACTGGGTACTTAATAATTATATTTAATTTGAAGAAATTTTGTATATTAAATTACTTAAAATTCATGTTAAATAAGCCTTTTAGAAAAAAATGTTTTAATTATTACGTAATTTTTTAATTTTTATGTTTAAGTAAACTACAGCTATTCTACTTTAATATATTCGTAAAATTATACTAATAAACACAATAACTTAATGTGTAGAATATTACTAAAAAGTGTTGATAAGGAATTGGAATTATGCAAAATTATAAATAAAAAACTAACATGACACATTTTATCCAAGAGTCATACAATGAAATTACTCATTTCAAAATCATAAGAAGGCCTTTGATATATAATACATAGTAAGTTAACAAATCGATTATTCAGTAATATTCATATAGAATTAATATCCTAGAATATCCTAGAATTAATTACTAAACATGAAATGATTAACGATTTTATTTCAATACATAAAATGCGCAACCCTCTAAGAACTTATTTATAAAATTATATCGTCTATTTAAATTAAAATATTAAATTATTATTCATATATTTAATGATTTTTGTAATTATTAATGTAAAATTTTGTTTATATTTTGAAAAAATAAAATATTATCATGTTAGATAGAGACTTCACCGAATAAAAATTCTACTAGAATAGCATAGAATAATTTTATTTTTTTTAAAACAATTTCTATATTAATTATTAAAATTTTATGGAGTTTTTATTTTATTAAAGTTTTATGGAGTTACTTTCAGCTGGAATAATTCATCAATTACTTTGTTACACCAATTAAACAAATAAATATTGTTTTAAACGAATTTCATTACTAGAATTTCTTACATCTCAAGTATAAGTTTGATGTCAAGTATAATGTTCCAATAAATTTGGGTCCTTAAGAGGTTTCCATAATGCATTAAAAAGTATAAAATTTACTAAAAACACATCATTCGTCATTGAATTGTTCAATAAAACGTTTAAAATACATTATTAAATAAGGCGATGAAATAAAAAAAAAAAGTTACATTATTTAAAATTTAATATTCAGAGCTGATTGGAATCTCAAACTTCGAAACGGTTAGATTTTTTTAATAAGTAGTTTAAACGATAAGAAGATAGATATACTCATCGTTCTGAAAAACTTTTCGTTATTGGTTATTACGAATAATTTAAATGAAATATTCACCTTTCTTCAATCTTGACTATATATAGTCTATTGTCGATCTCTAATAGTACATTTGAGAATAAAAATGGCATTTAAGGTAATAGTAATAACATAAAAATATTTAAAAAATAATGGCTTATCATTATTATTGTACGTGATTATATTTATAAATCAAAGTGCTTGTTCGAGCCGATTAAGAGGCCTGTAACAGTAAAAGGTTGATGACAGGTGAAAAGCTGTAAACGGTGCTTGTGCCCAAAAATCTTTCGAAAGAACGTCGAGGTGACGTCGAGGTGACGTCGAGGCAACGTCAAGGCAGCGTCGAGCGAATGTCGAGACGACGTTGAAAGCACTTTGAACGACGGTCGAAAGAAGGGGAGAAGATAAATTGATAAGGATACTAGCTGAAATCGCGGAGGCGACAAACGGGAAGTTTGAGGTTGCGCAGTAGGGTCGGATGGTTCAGCGCCCTCTGAACTTGGACATTCCCTATGTCCCTTTCTCCTTTTCTCGCTTTCGATAGTCTCGCAGACGTGTTCGTACGGGGCGCGGACCGCCCGTTCCGGTGTCGTGCGGACCCCGGTTTGCCCCGCATCGTTAACGTCGCGTAAAAGAGCGAGAAAGGCAGTGAAGATAGATAAAGAGAGAGAGAGAGAGAGAGAGAGAGATAGAGACAGAGAAATATATATATATATATATATATATATATATATATAGAGAGAGAGAGAGAGAGAGAGAGAGAGAAGCAGAGTGGAGGATCGATTCGCAGCCATCAGCCACGGCTAACACCGTCAGCGGTCAAATCAGCCGTCTCCGTCTTGCCAACCACCCGAGTCCGAGTCCTCCCTTTGAGCTTCTCGGACTACGGTTACCCGGGCCTTCAGCTCGCGCTCACAGACGGCCACCGCGAGCCAAGAGCCTCGCCTTCCGAGGTGGTGCCTGCGCCGGCCGCGATGCGCCTATGCAGAACTACCACGCGCTAGCCGAGGCGGCGGCAGTTCTAGCAGCCGTAGGTCGGGGCTCGGAGAGGATGCCGCTGCTCCGCGGACGCGCCGCGTTCCCTCGCTGCGGCTCCGAGTACGACCGGGTCTGCCTCGGAGGACTCGGTTAACGGGATCGCTCCACCACAACCCGACCCCTCCCACCAATTCCCGATCCACCGACCGCTGTCGCTGCCGCTAACGCAAACGTTAACGCGCCCCCGCGGCTCCAAGAGTGCGTCCGCCCCCGGTCCTCCTGCTAACTCCACTTGACTCATCACTGAAACCTGTCAGAAGCAAGCCAGCCCTTGCGGAAGATGTTGATTCGCTGGAAGAACAAGGATAAGGCTTCGAGTAAGAGCTCAGCCGGGGATGGAACGGCCGGCAAGAAGAAGCGAAAATTCGGAAAAGAGGGTGAGGCTCCTTTCATCTCGATCTAGCCCGTCCACCCTCTAGCTCGTTAGGGGCCGTCCTCTCTTTCTCCTCCCCGATCACCTACCTCGTCCTCCAATTCCTTCTCGTTTATCCTACCCCTCCCCTCGCCTTCTACCCCCTTCCCCGCCCCTCATTATCACGCTCACATGCACACGCATACGCGCGCGCGTACACTCTCTTCTCCTCCCCCTACCAGCCCCCTTTTCTCACACACTCACTCACTTGCTCTCAGATACACCACCGCTCTAGACCCCTTGCACGAGTTAATTGCTACCACGACCAATTCGCAATTTTTTGAGCCACGGCTCCTTCGACGAAAATGCCTCGCTCTTGCCACGGCAATGAACCGCAGCTACGCATCTATTTTCCATTATAGCTAAATTTACTTAAAAACTAAAGATTAAATAGGAGGTCGACTATTAATATAAGAGTTGCGGCACTGCAGCTATTATATTGCCGATGTGCGCGCGCGCAACTTTCGCTCCATCGATGCAGTATGTATCCGTTAGTACAGTCCTTTTTGACTCCCTTTTATCTTCTATTCCATTAATTATACAATTGATATAATCAAATGAATGCTCATCAACAGACCGTACAAAAATCTATAACTTCCTTGCTCCCTTATACTATTCCAAAATTTATTGGTTATACGACTGCTGATAACGAGTCATTCTTTGTGTCCCCCTTTTCTCCATTATTCTTTTCTAAAATCTAATAAGCTGATTGCCGTTTGAAAAATTTTCAATCCTCTTGTGTACCCACTTACAGCCCTTTGATCCGTAATTGCCTCACTCATCTCTTATCACTGTTTACCCAACGATTATGAATTCTACAAACTTCATAAATATTTTCTTCTACAAATACGAATAAAAATAACATTTTTCAATGCTTCTCTCCTCGTTTTCAAC